TATCTCCTAACCCGTGTCAGGAGACAAGTATCTCCTGACCCGTGTCAGGAGACAAGTATCTCCTAACCCGTGTCAGGAGACAAGTATCTCCTAACCCGTGTCAGGAGACAAGTATCTCCTAACCCGTGTCAGGAGACAAGTATCTCCTAACCCGTGTCAGGAGACAAGTATCTCCTAACCCGTGTCAGGAGACAAGTATCTCCTAACCCATGTCAGGAGACAAGTATCTCCTAACCCGTGTCAGGAGACAAGTATCTCCTAACCCGTGTCAGGAGACAAGTATCTCCTAACCCGTGTCAGGAGACAAGTATCTCCTGACCCGTGTCAGGAGACAAGTATCTCCTAACCCGTGTCAGGAGACAAGTATCTCCTAACCCGTGTCAGGAGACAAGTATCTCCTAACCCGTGTCAGGAGACAAGTATCTCCTAACCCGTGTCAGGAGACAAGTATCTCCTAACCCGTGTCAGGAGACAAGTATCTCCTGACCCGTGTCAGGAGACAAGTATCTCCTGACCCGTGACAGGAGACAAGTATCTCCTAACCCGTGTCAGGAGACAAGTATCTCCTGACCCGTGTCAGGAGACAAGTATCTCCTAACCCGTGTCAGGAGACAAGTATCTCCTAACCCGTGTCAGGAGACAAGTATCTCCTAACCCGTGTCAGGAGACAAGTATCTCCTGACCCGTGTCAGGAGACAAGTATCTCCTAACCCGTGTCAGGAGACAAGTATCTCCTGTCACTGGTCTTACACAGACATGTTTACAACATACTGAACGAGTCTTCCTCTTACATGTATAACAAGTTTTCACTGCTCACTCCACCTGACAACTGAGAATTAACATAACAAACTATTAATAATCTCAACAACCTGCCTCACACCTCATTAATAACTATTTTTTGTTGTAATTTTCAAAATTGTGACTTTGTTTATACAGTTACTGAAGGATTGGTAAAGCATACCGTGAATGTAGAACCCCAGACCTGCTCAGAACGTTCCAAGCTGCACTAACAAATGCAAGGAATAGAAAGGAAGAACTTAGGCAACAGGAATGGGAACAGTTTGTTAGTGGATTAAATAGGTCCACCCCTTTGAGTTTGGCTTGGAAAGGTATAAATAAAATAACCAGGAAAAAGACTGGCAATGTTGCTCATCCCTTTCCTTTTGAAAAAGCAAATGACCTCATAAATGAGTGGTTCAAAACATCCAGGCATGAAAACCTTCCATCTCATATTAGAAAAAATTTAGAGAGTACTTCTGAAGAAATGTTGAAACTGATTAATTTTATGAGCCAAAATATTGATGAGAGTGATTGCCTCTTTACCGAGTATGAATTAGATAATGCATTAACCAAAGATCGATCAACTGCTCCTGGAGAGGATGGTATAACCTATGATATTCTCAGAACTCTAAGGCACGTGCCTGATAACCCTTTGTTGGCACTGTATAATCTCAGTTACATTGAGGGCGTTCTTCCTACATCCTGGACCAATAGTCTCATTGTGCCTGTCCCTAAGCCCCAACAGCCTGATACATTTACGCCGATCTCCTTAACTAGTTGTCTTTGTAAAACTTTTGAAAGAATGATGCTTAACAGACTGTACTACAGAATCAGACACCAACTTTCCCCCTACCTCTATGGGTTCATGAAAGGTAAAAGTGTGCAGAACTGTATTTCCACCTTTCTCACTGCACACACCTCTACTAGTTTTACCACTTTTCTTGATCTAAAATCTGCATTTGATATTGCGAACAGAACCGTTATACTACATGAACTAGCCAAAATGAATATTGGTGGTAGCTTACCCTGCTGGATAATAGGATACCTGTCAAATAGAGTATCCTCTGTCCTTTACCAAGGCTTCAGAAGTGATTCTAAAGAAATGTCTTTAGGTACACCGCAGGGAGGAGTTCTTAGTCCCATGCTATTTAATATTCTGATTAATGCTCTCCTAAATGCTCTACCTGCCTCACCTAAACATATAGCTATAAGCTATGCTGATGATATCATGATCCATACAACAGGGCATAAGAAGATGAATACCATTCTTAATGAAGTTCAAGCAATTTGTAATCGACTAGGCCTCATAATATCTTCCTCTAAAACAAAGATATTAACAAGCAAGCGACATCCCCCACCCATCTATTTGCAGGGTGAAATCATTAGCTACGTTAAAACTTACAGATATCTTGGTGTAGATGTACCCTTTAACAAATCCACTATACCACAACTAAACAAGAAATGCAAAGCTAGGCTAAATGCTCTCAAAGCTGTTGCTGGCTACAATCCCAACTATGGTGCTAATGTGAGAATCGTGAGAATGATGTACATAGCCTATGTTAGGTCCTTAATTGATTATGCTGCTCCCATGTTGATATTAGCTAGAGAAAGTTCTCTCCGACCCTTGGAGTTAATGCAAAATGAAGCTCTCAGGATTATTCTTGGCTGTCCCAGATCTACAAAAGTTCTTAACATGAGGAAGGAGCTTGGTATTTCTAGTATCAGTGATAGGATTGTTGAAATTAACACTGTACTCGGTATTAGAATGTTGAGAAACGAACCAGACACTGTCACAGTGAATCTTACCAAGTGTCTAGAGGTAAATACACACAGATCTAAATGGATTGTGAAAACGTGCAATTGCATTAAGTTTTATAACCTGCATGAACTGTATCACTGCAGGCAACAAGAGCATTTCACCCCTCCATGGAAGATGTGTTCATTTAATATCACATACATACAAGTCCCTCCCAAGAAGCTTATTGCTAGTAATCCCTTCCTTAAATCTCTTGTTAGAGCAACTGCTCAAGAAGAAATTTCTGGCCTAGCTGGTAGTAATAAGTTATCACAAGTTATATACACTGATGGATCTAAACAGGAGTCTTCTGGCAGGGCTGCATCTGCTCTTGTTGCCACCTCCCTAGTTAAGAACCATAATAAATTTGTTGAGTTAGGCATAAGAATTAACAACTGGGCGTCTACACTGCAAACTGAATTGTTTGCAATCCTAATGGCGCTAAAGCTAACCTATGACACTGAGCTTGACTTTATCATCATTACTGATTCTATGTCATCATTGAAGGCTCTTGACTCATATAATGACTCCAACAACATGCTCATTGGAGAAGCCAGGTATAGATACTCAAAAATTGGGGACAAAGGAATTAATGTACAATTGCTATGGATCCCATCACACATTGGATTACTCCTTCATGATAAAGTTGATATGTTAGCCAAGAAGAGTACCCAGAAGGAGAATGTAGAATATAACTTTGGTATAACTGTGTCTAGCATTAGGAATAATATTAGGAGAGAAGTAAATAACGAAAATGATTGTTATAGGAATGCAGTTAGAAGCCTGAGTAGATCTATAACCCACTATGATAACATGAACGTAGATAAATATGTTTATGGAGCAACTTGCAATGTGAACAGACTGACTGATGTTGTAGTGGCCAGGCTTAGGCTTGGTTACAAGTACTTCTGGCAGTTTGGGAGACACACAGATGATGATCAAACTAAATGTAAATTATGTGATCAGGCATATGGTCACTGTCTTGAACACTATGTGCTTAATTGTCCACTTATTGAGGAATACAGAGACAGAGTATAATAACCTATGTGACATGTCAAGATATCTTATTAATGAAAATAAGATACCAGATATACTAAGCAAATTTCCTAAATTTGCTTGTAACAGATAAGTGAACTATAGATATGTAGATATAAATCCATATGTATTCCTGTTAACCCTTTGGGGCCTAGTTCCTAGGCCTTTTGTGTATCCATATGCTCTCGCGGTACCGTCCACAGGATGGATATGGGGTGCACAATAAACTAGCCACTTCGGTGGCAAAATCTAAGTTACTGATGGTTCAATTTTTTTTTCATTTCTACGTGCAGAACAACTACTGTGAAAAGAACAGTGAACTATTTGTATTTCTGTGTATTGTTATATTTATTGGGGCGCTAAACCCGTAAGGGATCATACGGCACGTGGGGGATGGGAGGTATTCCGGTTGGATCTAGAGAAAGGGACAGCAGGTCCACTTCCTTGGATTATGAGCCTCTCACCGGTATCAAGGGACCTAACCATACCACGGGCGGGGATAGAACCCGCGATCAGAGAGTCTCAAAACTCCAGACCGTCGCGTTAGCCACTGGACCAGCTAGCCACAATAAGATTCGTCCAATTAGGTATATTTCTACACCATAGGAAGGTTAGCATAGGCACCACTATGGCGTAGAAATATACCTAGTTGGACGAATTTTATTGTGGCTAGCTGGTCCAATGGCTAACGCGACGGTCTGGAGTTTTGAGACTCTCTGATCGCGGGTTCTATCCCCACCCGTGGTATGGTTTGTTTGCAATCGCGTCATTACGATTTCGTGAGTCATCAAGGGACCGCTTTCGAAGGACTATAAATGTACAAACAGATCCAGTTCCTTGAATCAAGGGCCTTCCACCAACATCAAGAAAGCCAAGGCAGGAAACGATCTCTTAGCTAATATTTATAAAACCTCTCATTCTTAACCCCACTGTCATTTTACTGTCACTAACACGACCATTTCTCCATCTCCCTCACAAAGAAAGTTCGCCAGCATCTGTTTACCCAGGAGCGAGATGAGTGAGCATGGGATGACGATGTTCATACAAGGGCTGTATCACCGCGGTGTTGGGGTGTATGGAGGCAAGAGTGGAGGACTCTTGGTCGAGTCCCCAAACCTGAAGAATTCTTTGCAGCTCAGCAGCTTCGTCTTGAAAAGGCTCAACTGTACCTTGTCCAAGTGAGTCTCTTTCTTTACCATGGTTTACCTGTTACCTTTCTCTTTACCATGGTTTACCTGTTACCTTTCTCTTTACCATGGTTTACCTGTTACCTCTCTCTTTACCATGGTTTACCTGTTACCTCTCTCTTTACCATGGTTTACCTGTTACCTCTCTCTTTACCATGGTTTACCTGTTACCTCTCTCTTTACCATGGTTTACCTGTTTCCTGAATGGTACATTATAGTGTTATATTCATGTATAGCACTAAACTAATATTAAATAGCGTAGATAATCCCAATGAATAATTTGGCATTTTGTTTGTAATGTCATGCAGCTGCTATGTATACAGTATTTCTTGTTTTTAACTCATCTCTCCATGTATCAGTATACACGAAGGCTTGAAGGACTAGGTTCCAATATTCTGTTAGCTAGCCCATTTACAGACATTTTATGCAACTGAGTACTTAAGAAAACTCGCTGCTGGGTGAAACATTGTACTAATAAAGACTTCACTGCACATTATTTATTTAGAATAAGCCACTGACAGTAATGGCATTTGTCCTGTTTCCTGACGAACCTTACCTAACCTAACCTAACTGACAGTAATAATAAACTACTGTAGTATTTACAAGAGTTGCTATATAACAATTATTGCAGGTTACTTAAGTATGCAATGGTATGAACTTTTATAAAATCATATTCCTTCCTTTGTTTTCCAACTTTGAAGAACACATTCTGTATAAATTGTTTATCCCTGGCAGGGTAGACAAGGAAGAAATATGGTATGATGAATCTGGCTACGAACGTTGCTATGACTATAGCAATCTTCTGGTTAACAAACTGCTGGGCACGTTTGAGGACTCCTCACAGAAGAACCTTCATGCATTCAAAGAGCAGATGTTTTTGGCAAACGACGTGGGAAAAAAGGCTCCTTCACCGGTAGAAGATTTATATCTTACGGATTTTGAAGTATATGAACAGCCACGTCGAAGTGGACAAGCCGCTTCTCCAAAATCTGACGATTTATATGAGTCTATTCCAGAGCCAGGACATCAAGATCAGAGGGTAGATGTATATTCCAATCATAATGTTTTTGCTAGTGCGATGAGAACACTACCAGCACAAAGGCCACCCAGACCTCTGCCGCGTCAAGCAAACTCGTCATTAACATATAAAGAACAGAGTTTCAGTACAGACAGGTGTAAAAGAGCTGACTGTAAAAAGAGATTAAGTCATTCATGTAGTAAATCAGACCTTCCACCGATGTCTTCCGTAAGATTACATCCATGTTCTTTCCCAGTATCAATTAATATGAGTTTTAACTCTCATGATACTGGGAACTTTAATCATGGTCTCCGATATAATTCTCAAGACAGATGTTGTTATAGTTGCAAGCCTCAGTGCCATGGTCGTATTCCTAAATTCCAGTCTTCAAGACCATATAGAAATGTTCATGGACCTGACTGCCATGGTCATGCACCTAACTGTAATCCTTCCAGACTTCAGTGGCATACTCATGCACCTAACTAATGCTCAGACTTAACAAAATTGTCAGTAACATATTGGGGACACTAGTTGTAAGCAATTTTATAAACGTAATTTAGCTTTAGTTGTTTTACTCTGTCTTCAACATTCAGCACATCCAGTTGTAGTAATTCATTCTGGCCTACATGCTCTCTTGGAGCAAGGTCCACAATGAATCTCATCATTATGTTCTGGGTGATTTATAACTTATCTTTTTTTTAAGGCAGAGTACCATGAAGAGCAAGAGTAGTCTATAATACATTGTATGAGACCTGGACATAGGGTCCTGCCAGCCTCGGTTGGTAGACACTGCGCTTGTCTGTAGAGGAACTTTAGTCTGGCATTCACTTTCTTTACTACACTGTTTCCTATTAGTTCTCCTGACATCCAAGGATCAAAGGGGATCCCCAAATATTTCACTGAATTTACTGTAATAACAGGTTCCCCAGGTTTCCAGGTTACACTGGACATTAAAGTTATTTACCCTTTTCAATTTGTTTCGTGCCAAAGAGTACGGTTTCCGTTTTCCCGAAGGGTAGTGATAATTTGTTGTCTACCAACCAGGACTCTAGTTCTAGTGATAGTACATTAGCAATGTCTTGTGGGTCTTTACCTGATACTAACAGAGCATTATCAACTGTGTACAGTAGTAGCTTGCATTTGACACTCATAGGCATGTCATCCACGTAACAGGAAGAGTAAAGGACCCAGAATACTACCCTGGGAACCCCACATGTTATTGGCAGGGGTTCTGATTCTATGTTGCTGATCTTGACAATTTGTTTCCTGTTGCTCAGGTAAGACTTAAACCATTCTACAGAACTTATACTGATAGCCTGTAGTTTCTTATAAAAAATATGTACTGTGGTTGACCGTATCGAAGGACTTTTGCAAGTCCTTCGACTTGAAATTCCCTAGCTACATTTCAGTTCTCAGGTAGTCCATCAAAATAATGAGGGAGGTATCGGTTTAATTAGATCTCCTAAAACCTGACTAGTAACTATGGAGAATGTTTTTTTTTTAATTAAGATACTTAACTACTTGACAGTATACCTCCTTCTGCAGAATTTTTAACAACACACTGATCAGGTCTACCATTTTTCTTGAAGACAGGAGTAACTCTGGCCTCCCTGAATCCCTTCAGACAGTATTCGTGGCTATGGACAAATTTATTATGTGCGCAATGGGAATTGGTAATTCAGAGGCGCCATCTTTTGGAACAAGACGGGATGTTATTGGGGCCGATGCTCTTAGCTGGGTTTAATTTACTTAGTTCTTTTCGTACAAAGTCATAAGATACACCTACTAGTTGGCAACTGTTCGGGGTGACGCCCTTATTAATATAATATCTTTATTTACTACAAGTACATGTACAAGGTATACAGTCCTAGCTGACAACAATGACATACTACTATATAGAAAGCCCCTTGTTATGCTCCACATGTCGGGCAAATTAGGTCAGTGTCCCAGGATGCGACTCACACCAGTCGACTAACACCCAGGTACCTATTTTACTGATGGGGAACATAGACAACAGGTGGAAAGAAACACGCCCAATGTTTCTACTCTGGCTGGAAATCGAACCCAGGCCCTCTCCGTGTGAAGCGAGTGCGTTAGCCACCAGGCCATCAGAGTCTGTGCTAAAACAAGTTTACTTACTATTGTTGATATCACAAAGTGTAGTACGCATTGAAACAATTTGCCACTTTATCTGTCTCGTGGCATTCTCCGTGTCAGATCTAACTGTGGGTATATGGCTATATGCCAAATGTTGTAGTTGTTGCCAGAACTTTCTGGGGTTATTCTTGTACTCTTCGATTTTTGAGCAATAGTGCCTTGCCTCTACTCCTTTTATGAGTATCTATACTCTGTTCCTAACTCTGGAACTCATTTAGCGCTGCAATATATTCCTGGTTTATCTTAAATCTTTTTAGCAACTGGTCCCTGAATTTCATATTATCTAATATCTCAGTAGTCATCCAGGGTTCGGTTGTTCATTTAATCCTAACCTCTTTAACTGGTGCAATATTATCAAGGATGGTAGTGAACATTGTTTTGAATTTTTCCCAGGCATCATTTACATCCATACAACTTGTAATTACTGTCAAATCACAATTTTGTAGCCCATTTACCATTATTTTTTTACTGGAGTTTCTAGTTGACTTTATTTTGACTATCCTGACTGCACTTAGTCTTCAATTTAGTTCACTCTGACTGCACGGTATTGTGTCATCTCTTTTGTAAATACAAGAGACAATTAACAGCATTGCTTTGCATCTCCGATATGAATTATTTATTCAATCTGAAAAAAAATGATAAAGCACCCGGTACGGAAAATGTTACAATTACTTTAATATATTTATTATGCCCCCATACCCATCCTGTGGGCGGTCAAAGATTACAATGGCACATAAGTGGTCCAGGGACTGGGCCCCAAATTTTTGATAGCTAAACAAGTTAGTTATTTACATTTTTATATATGGTTACAGTCGTAATGTGTTATTTATGCAGATATGAATTACGTCAAAAAAATATTATCTTATATTTTAGCAAGGTATATTTGTAAACAAAATGTTGAAGTGGTTATGCGTTATTTACAGTGGGAAAGGCAAAGTATTTTTCCAGAATGGTTGGTAATATGCCACTGTGGATAAAATATTTTGATATTTCTTGAACATTTCTGAGCGAGTTGTCTCTGTATTCATTAATTCTATCGCATCCCAGTACATATTAAGGCAAGGTGAGACAATTATCCATCTGGCGAAGTTTACTTTTAGTTTGGTCTACTTCATCTGGTGGTGGTGATTTAACCTGCCAGAGATACTTGTAACCCAGCCGCAGCCGGGCGGTAGTGACATCCATGAATCTGCTTATTTTGTGGGATGCCTGGTGGCAAAAGCTCTCTCTTCATACGGTGAGGGTCCGGGTTCAATTCCCGGCGAAATGGTGGAAACATTGGATGTATTTCCTTACACCGGTTGTCTATGTTCACCACTTGATACTGGAGTTCCGCAGGAAAGTGTCCTTGGACCCCTGCTCTTCCTCATTTACATCAATGATCTTCCAAACATATCCCAACACCTGAAACCCATTCTCTTTGCTGACGACACGACTTATGTCATCTCCCACCCTAATCTTGCCACCCTCAACACAATTGTTAACGAGGAGCTGCTCAAAATATCGACTTGGATGACAGCCAATAAACTTACACTTAACACTGGTAAAACCTACTATATTATGTTTGGTAGCAGAGCAGGTGTTGCGCAACATTAACATTAAGATCGACAACACTCTAATTGCCAGACATAATGAGGGCAAATTCCTTGGCCTATACCTCGACAACAACCTAAATTTCAGCACCCATATCCAACACATAACAAAAAAAAAGTATCCAAAACGGTGAGGATCCTCTCCAAGATACGATACTACGTACCGCAAACTGCCCTTCTCACACTATACCATTCACTTATGTATCCATACCTCACCTATGCTATCTGTGCTTGGGGTTCAACTGCAGCAACACACCTAAAGCCGATAATAACCCAACAAAAAGCCGCAGTAAGAATAATCACTAAATCCCATCCCTGGCAACCTTCCCCCCCCCTCTTCATAGATCTAAACTTACTCCCTGTTTAGAACATCCACACTTACTACTGTGCAATCTATATCAACAGGACCTTAAATTCCAATATTAACCTTGACCTAAAACACTTTCTTGATAGTTGTGACAGGATCCACAGGCATAACACCTGACACAAACATCTCTGTGACATTCCCCGTGTTCGACTAAACCTTTACAAAAATTCAATGTATTTTAAAGGACCTAAAATCTGGAACACCCTACCTGAAAACTCTAGAACTGCAGACACATTCATCACTTTAAAAACTACAGTTAGAAAACATCTTATCTCCCTGATCCACCCCGACAACTAACTACATGATAACCACCTGGTGGCTCAAAATTACACTCACTCACCCACTGACTATAAACCCAGAAATACTAATCTTAATCTTAAAATAATGAATCCTAACTAGTCATAAGTTTGCCTATGATACTCAAATATAGACACCTTGTATTGTGCCAAAACAAAAGCATTCACATTGCTAAACTCACAAATTATGATGTAGTCACTTAGCCTTAATACTATAATCTGGAAGGATTTAATGTTAAGAATTAATCTAAGTCTGCTCGAAATGCTTAGCCATGCTAGGTGTCCTAGTGGCCCCCATCTGTAATTAGTATTTTATAACATGTAAACCACAAAATACCCAAAACCTGTATACCCCACATTGTAACCATTATAGAGAATAAACTTGAATTGAATTGAATTGAATCAGTAAAATGGGTACCTGGGTGTTAGTGATGTGGGTCGCATCCTGGGACAAAAACTGACCTAATTTACCCGAAATGCTCTGCATAACAAGGTGCTTTCTATATAATAGTATGTCATTGATGTCAGCTAGGACTGTATACCTTGTACATGTACTTGTAGTAAATAAAGATATTATATCATTATAATCTGACTGGTGTCACTCTACCTCAGTCTCAAATTAATGAAGCTATTTTCTTATTATTGTTCTCGAACTACTAATTGACAGCCCAAGATTGTAACTTACCCCGTCTTTGAAAGTATTTGACTTTCCAGTTCATCAGTTCTCTCATGTAAATGTTACGTATGTTACTATATATAATTGCTTTTATGTGAACCTGTACCTAAATAAAATTAATTACTAATGTTTTTCCTTGAAAGAACCTATAAGACAGTGCTAAGTTCATATGGGGGTCATACAGTACCTACGGAATATGTTTGATCCATGATGTCCCGTAGCTTGGTTGGTAGCGCACTCACTGAGGTTCATGGTTCGATCCCCGATACTGGTGGAAACATTGTGTTTCCTTTAGACACCTGCTGTCCCTGCTTATTTGAACGTTAGTCGACTGGTGTGGGTCGCATCCTGAGCACAAAATTGACCTAATTTACCCGAAATGCTCTGCATAAAGGGCTCTCTATATAGTATATGATTAATGTAAACTAGGTTTGTATACGTTATACGTGTACTTGTAGAAATAATGATTATTATTGTTGTTAGAGATGCATTTTAAAATTACATTACATAAATAAATGTTGCAACATGTATAAGAAGAAAGTATGGTAATTGACGAATGCTTTTTGCAATAAAAATAAATGTACAAAATGGAAATAAATCACTTTGATTTTCTTTGGGGTTATCCTGTGTAATTTACACTATGTATGGTAATTGTAGTTATGTGTACCTGTACTTAAATATACTTACATTCATGTACCTATTTTAAGCTGAGCCTCTCTTTAATGTTATTGCAAATAACTCGGTTTGTGAAAATTATTATTATATGAGTAAATTACCTGCATGAGATTTACAGGGTATTACCTGAGTTATTACCTGCAAGTAATTTGAGTGAGGTAAGTGGGACTTAGTCACAGTAGGTCACTGAACTGTACCTCCCTCGACTGCCCACTTCTTCACCACTCTCACAAAAAGCTAGACCTGACATTAAATTAATAATTATAATATTAAAACCAGCTACTCTGGTGAATAAAGTTGTGTGGACTGTATAGGATTAGGCTTGCTGGGTATACCAAGTATAATTGGTATTAACACTTACCATTTAATTACTGGAAGACAATGCTGATGGAACACACCCTAACACTACCTTAGCAAATAGGATTTACGATGGCCAATACATAAGCTACCGCACATTATGGGTAAGCATCGCTTAGGTAAGGTGTGTTGTTGTGGAGGATTTATTGAAGTCCTCTATTTTTCCGTCCTCCACACGCAATTCTTGAGGTCTCATAAATTTCCTGTCCCAATTCTTCAGCAGGGGACATTAACACGGGTTTCTAAATATAAATTCATGCCGAAAAACCCCAATTTGGCTCGGAAGACGCCGGATTATTAGCAGAATTTCCCACAACAACCAGAGCTCACACATTACAAATAGCATCTCCCCGTCCTAGTTAGTGCTGCATCAAGTTCAAAGTTAGTGAAAGGAATGTTACAGTCATCTTCCTTGCCGAGCATAAAACAAATAAGTCTCTCCCTTGCATCACATTTGTCCATTAATTTCGCCTGTGATAATGGAAGATTGTCATAGCGAGATGTAGCACCTCACTCGCCCTGTGTAAGGGATGAAGGTAGCGATCTGACCAGTTCTGTTACCCTTAATTCTATTAATGGCTCTTCATGCCCGGCTAAGTCCTTGGACCCATTATGTACCTCTGTAATTCTTTGACTACCGCCCACAGGATAGGTATGGAGTGACTACCGCCCACAGGATGGGTATGGGGTGACTACCGCCCACAGGATGGGTATGGGGTGACTACCGCCCACAGGATGGGTATGGGGTGACTACCACCCACAGGATGGGTATGGGGTGACTACCGCCCACAGGATGGGTATGGGGTGACTACCACCCACAGGATGGGTATGGGGTGACTACCACCCACAGGATGGGTATGGGGTGACTACCGCCCACGGGATGGGTATGGGGTGACTACCGCCCACAGGATGGATATGGGGTGACTACCACCCACAGGATGGGTATGGGGTGACTACCACCCACAGGATGGGTATGGGGTGACTACCACCCACAGGATGGGTATGGGGTGACTACCGCTCACAGGATGGGTATGGGGTGACTACCACCCACAGGATGGGTATGGGGTGACTACCGCCCACAGGATGGGTATGGGGTGACTACCACCCACAGGATGGGTATGGGGTGACTACCGCCCACAGGATGGGTATGGGGTGACTACCACCCACAGGATGGGTATGGGGTGACTACCGCCCACAGGATGGGTATGGGGTGCATAATAAAGATATTAAATATAACCCGTCCGCGTCACTCAGCAGCTCTTCTACACCCCCATCACTCGAAATTTTTCGAAAGGGTCAAATCAGCATCAAATTCTATTACACAATTACTATATTATTCATTTATATGTTCTACATTTAGGAAATTATCTAAATAATTTTCATAATGTACTCAATGGAGCGCAGAGAGATATATTATAGAGAGAGAGATATATTATAATCTACACCTGGAAGATTCTGGAGGGACTGGTTCCTAATCTGCACACAGAACTCACTCAGTACGAAAGCAAAAGATTTGACAGGTGATGCAACATACCCCCAGTGAAAAGTAGGGAGGCCACTGGTACACTAAGAGAAAACATAAGTGTCCGGGGCCCAAGACTGTTCAACAGCCTCCCATTAGCCATAAGGGTCATTACCAGTAGACCCCTGGTTGTCTTCAAGAGGGAGCTGGACAGATACCTAAAGTCGGTGCCGGATCAGCCGGGATGTGGTTCGTACGTTGGACTACATAGTCAGCAGTAACAGCCTCGATGATCAGGCCCTGATCCACCGGGAAGACCTGGTGGTGGACCGGGCCGCTGGGGTGTTGATCCCCGGAATGCTCTCCAGGTAGGCAGACGGTTACAACCTATACAGATGTGACAGAGTGAACAGGCAAAAGGGGGGGGGGTTGGCCTGTACATTGCAGAGTCACTTGTTTGCACAGAACTGCTTAATGCCTCAAATGATGTAGTGGAAGTTTTAGCAGTAAAGGTCGAGAACCAAAACCTAGTCATTGTGGTAGTCTACAAGCCTCCGGATGCAACATCCCAGAAATTCCAGGAACAGCTGTTAAAAATTGACCACTGTCTGGAAAATCTTCCAGCTCCTGCACCCAACATCTTGCTCCTGGGGGATTTCAACTTAAGGCACCTAAAATGGAGGAATATAGCAAATAATATTGTTGCAGTAATAACACCAGGAGGCAGCTCTGATGAAAACTCACACTCACACGAGCTTTTAAATCTCTGCACAAAATTCAATTTAAACCAGCAAATAATAGAGCCTACTAGACTGGAGAATACACTAGACCTCATCTTCACTAACAATGATGATCTGATAAGAAATGTCACCATATCAAAAACAATATACTCAGATCACAACATAATTGAGGTTCAGACATGTATGCGTGGAGCCCCAGACCGACATAATGAGACTAGTCACGAGGGAGCATTCACCAAATTCAACTTCAATAACAAAAACATAAAGTGGGACCAAGTAAACCAAGTCCTAACCGATATAAGCTGGGAAGATATACTAAGCAACACAGACCCCAACTTATGCCTAGAACAGATTAACTTGGTGGCACTCGATGTATGCACAAGGCTTATTCCTCTAAGAAAAAGGAGGAGTAGATGTAAAATAGAAAGAGACAGGAGCTCCCTTTACAGGCGATGGAAAAGAATAACAGAGCGGCTAAAAGAGGTCAATATATCTGAAATGCGTAGGGAGACACTGGTCAGAGAAATAGCAAGCATCGAACTTAAGCTAAAGGAATCTTATAGGAGTCAGGAATCGCGGGAAGAACTGAAAGTCATAAATGAAATCGAAAGAAACCCAAAGTATTTCTTCTCCTATGCCAAATCAAAGTCGAGAACAACGTCCAGTATTGGGCCCCTACTTAAACAAGATGGGTCCTACACAGATGACAGCAAGGAAATGAGTGAGCTACTCAAGTCCCAATATGACTCAGTTTTTAGCAAGCCGCTAACCAGACTGAGAGTCGAAGATCAAAATGAATTTTTTATGAGAGTGCCACAAAATTTGATTAACACAAGCCTATCCGATGTTATCCTGACGCCAAATGACTTCGAACAGGCGATAAATGACATGCCCATGCACTCTGCACCAGGGCCAGACTCATGGAACTCCGTGTTCATCAAGAACTGCAAGAAGCCCCTATCACGAGCCTTTTCCATCCTATGGAGAGTGAGCCTTGACACGGGGGTCGTCCCACAGTTACTAAAAACAACAGACATAGCCCCACTCCACAAAGGGGGCAGTAAAGCAACAGCAAAGAACTACAGACCGATAGCACTAACATCCCATATCATAAAAATCTTTGAAAGGGTCCTAAGAAGCAAGATCACCACCCATCTAGAAACCCATCAGTTACACAACCCAGGGCAACATGGGTTTAGAACAGGTCGCTCCTGTCTGTCTCAACTATTGGATCACTACGACAAGGTCCTAAATGCACTAGAAGACAAAAAGAATGCAGATGTAATATATAAAGACTTTGCAAAAGCCTTCGACAAGTGTGACCATGACGTAATAGCGCACAAAATGCGTGCTAAAGGAATAACAGGAAAAGTCGGTCGATGGATCTATAATTTCCTCACTAACAGAACACAGAGAGTAGTCGTCAACAGAGTAAAGTTCGAGGCAGCTACGGTGAAAAGCTCTGTTCCAAAAGGCACAGTACTCGCTCCCATCTTGTTCCTCATCCTCATATCCGACATAGACAAGGATGTCAGCCACAGCACAGTGTCTTCCATTGCAGACACTGCAAGGCTCCAGGCGGACATCAACCAAATCTTTCAGTGGGCTGCAGAAAACAATATGAAGTTCAACGATGAGAAATTTCAATTACTCAGATATGGTAAACACGAGGAAATTAAATCTTCATCAGAGTACAAAACAAATTCTGGCCACAAAATAGAGCGAAACACCAACGTCAAAGACCTGGGAGTGATCATGTCGGAGTATCTCACCTTCAAGGACCATAACATTGTATCATCGCATCTGCTAGAAAAATGACAGGATGGATAATGAGAACCTTCAAAACTAGGGAGGCCAAGCCCATGATGACACTCTTCAGGTCACTTGTTCTATCTAGGCTGGAATATTGCTGCACACTAACAGCACCTTTCAAGGCAGGTGAAATTGCTGACCTAGAAAATGTACAGAGAACCTTCACGGCGCGCATAACGGAGATAAAACACCTCAATTACTGGGAGCGCTTGAGGTTCCTAAACCTGTATTCCCTGGAACGCAGGCGGGAGAGATACATGATTATATACACCTGGAAAATCCTAGTGGGACTAGTACCGAACTTGCAAACGAAAATCACTCACTACGAAAGCAAAAGACTTGGCAGACGATGCAACATCCCCCCAATGAAAAGCAGGGGTGTCACTAGCATGTTAAGAGACCATACAATAAGTGTCAGGGGCCCGAGACTGTTCAACTGTCTCCCAGCATACATAAGGGGGATTACCAACAGACCCCTGGCAGTCTTCAAGCTGGCACTGGACAAGCACCTAAAGTCGGTTCCTGAGCAGCCGGGCTGTGGCTCATACGTTGGTTTGCGTGCAGCCAGCAGCAACAGCCTGGTTGATCAGGCTCTGATCCACCAGGAGGCCTGGTCACAGACCGGGCCGCGGGGGCGTTGACCCCCGGAACTCTCTCCAGGTAAACTCCAGCATGCCAAAGCCACTTATATGCATAGCATTACGGGCTGGCTTAAAATTAACTTAAGATTAACTAAGCAATGATGTAATCAGTGATAAAACATTAATGTAAACAGATAACTATAAAATACAAATGAGTATTACAAAGACAGGTCATATACCTGGAGTTTACCTGGAGAGAGTTCCGGGGGTCAACGCCCCCGCGGCCCGGTCTGTGACCAGGCCTCCTGGTGGATCAGAGCCTGATCAACCAGGCTGTTGCTGCTGGCTGCACGCAAACCAACGTACGAGCCACAGCCCGGCTGATCCGGAACTGACTTTAGGTGCTTGTCCAGTGCCAGCTTGAAGACTGCCAGGGGTCTGTTGGTAATCCCCCTTATGTGTGCTGGGAGGCAGTTGAACAGTCTCGGGCCCCTGACACTTATGGTTGAATGCATTGCTGTACATTCAGTGGAATGGAGTATTCTGTTAGGTAGTGCATTTAAAAAATAACAAAGTTAGATTGGGTCTTAGGTTTAACATTTATGTGATATAATTATGAGAAACATTTAAGATATACAATTTATAAGGTTCAGTTATTCAGTATTTATTTGGTTTTGGGTGAGTAAGTGATCTTTGAGAAGAGACTTGAATTTATAAACAGGTAGTGTTTCTTTTATATTTACAGGTAATGAATTCCAGATTTTAGGGCCTTTTATGTGCATTGAGTTTTTGCATGGAGTGAGATGGACACGAGGAACATCAAAGAGTGATCTGTGCCTTGTGTTATGGTCATGTGTTCTGTTGAGGTTGGTAAGGAGACGTTTGAGGGGAGGGTTTATATCCGAGTTAAGTGTTCTATGTATGTAGTAGGTACAATAATAAGTATGGATGTTTTGTATGGTGAGTAGGTTTAGAGTTTTGAATAATGGTGGAGTGTGCTGCCCGTAGTGGGAATTTGTTATCATTCTGACTGCAGCCTTGTGTTGGGTAATTAATGGTCTGAGATGTTTTATTGTTGTTGAGCCCCATGCACAAATTCCATAGGTGAGATAGGGGTAAATAAGTGAGTGATATAGGGCCAGGAGGGCTGACTGTGGAACATAGTACCGTATCTTCGATAGTATGCCTACGGTCTTGGAAATTTTCTTAGAAATTTGTTGTGTATGTGTATGAAATTTGAGTCTATTATCAAGGTGGATTCCTAAGAATTTTCCCTCTGTTAGCTTTGTGATAGGTGATCCGTTTATATAATCATAATGAAGCGCTAAACTCATGAGGGTCATACAGCGCTGCACCTTATACCTAATATATTTCTTTGTATTGTAAGTGATTTTCACACAGATGAGTCATTTATCTGCTTTAACTTATGGTTTAAATAATTAGATATTACAAGGACCCCAATGGAAATAAATCACTTTGACTTTTTGGGGGGATTATCCTACGTAATTTACACATATTACTCATCTAGGTTTTCTCCTTTTTCTAAATAGCTCTTGTTCTTCTTTATTTCTTCTATTGTCCATGGGGAAGTGGAAAAGAATCTTTCCTCCGTAAGCCATGCGTGTCGTATGAGGCGATTAAAATGCCGGGAACAATGGGCTAGTAATCCCTTCTCCTGTAGACATTTACTAAAAAAGAGAAGAAGAAGGAGGGGTGTTAATGTTGCAGTTTAAAAACTGTAGTGTAAAGCACCCTTCTGGCAAGACAGTGATGGAGTGAATGATTGTGAAAGTTTTTCTTTTTCGGGCCACCCTGCCTTGGTGGGAATCGGCCAGTGTGATAATAAAAAAAAATTACTCATGTATGATAATTTGTGTAATTGTATTTGTGTGTACCTGTACCTGTACCTGTAGAAATAAAGATTATTACTTACATGGAATTACAACCCCGACCAGATTTTAGTGGACCTTAACATGGCCAACACTCACAGTAAGATTTTAAAAACATGGAGGAGCAGGTGTGCTGTTGGATATATGAATACGGCGTCAAGTATGGTTATGATGGTTTATGTTGCAGTAAGTAGTAGTTAGTGATGTAAACCATACCACGGGCAGGGATTGAACCCGCGATCACAGTAGTAGAACTACAAGTACGTGTGATAATCTTCATTTCTTCAAGTACATGTACAAGGTATACAGAACATAACTGACATCAGTGACACTACTATATAGTAAGCCGCTGTATAGCCCTTGTGGTTTAGCGCTTCTTTTTGATTATAATAATATAATATATAGTAAGCCACTTGTTATGCTCAGTATTTCAGGCAATTAGGTCAGTTTTGTCCCAGGATGCGACCCACACCAGTCGACTAGCACCCAGGTACCTATTTTACTGTTAGGTGAATATTGGACAACAGGTGTTTTAAGGTATATTCCTGGTATGATACTTGTACTTAAACTTACTATAAGGTTTTGTGGTCGCAGTGGAAATGAGTCACATCGTCTGAGTTTTTTGTGGAGTTATCCTTTGTAATTTACACAGGTTCTGTATTACCTTGACAGGTTTAATGCTTGGTTATGAATAGTAATAATATACATATGTTAATCTGTATAATAATTGTACCCCTCAAGGGAGGTTCCTTGATGATGGTGAGGGGCTTTTGATCTAGGCAATTGGATCTGTGCTCCAGTTCCTTGAATTAAGCCTGAATACCTGCCATCCCTCCCCCCACAAAGATGCTGTATAATCCTACGGGTTTAGTGCTTCCCCGTGATTATAATAATAATGATAATTGTAATCACCTAAATTGATGTGACTACTTACATGTACCTGAACCCAGGTAAACTTACTAAGCAAAGGAGGCAAGAAGATTTTACTTGGATTGTTAATCCGATGAGTTAATAACCCAGAATAACTCAATAAATCAGGGTCATCAGACTGGCTTGTTTCCACTGGGGTCTTTTAATCTTCTCCCCCAGGATGCAACTCACCAATCCATTAATGCTATGCTCCCTACCTACCCTTAAGTTAACAGGGGCAGCAGGTGTAAAGATAAGATTTTGTTTGAATTTTTAACCTCGGAGGGTTAGCCACCCAGGATAACCCAAGAAAGGCAGTGCATCATCAAGGGAATGCCTCAGATTTCCAATAGGGTCCATAAATCTTGTCCCCCAGGATGCGACCCACACCAGTTGACTAACACCCAGGAACCTACTTGCTAGGTGAATGGGAACAGCAGGTGTAAGGAAACATGCCTGATGTTTCCACCCTTGCCAGAGATTGAACCATGGACAGTGTATGAGCAAGAGCATTGCCTACCGACAAGTTGATAAATTAGACATACCTGGAATATACCTGGAGAGGGTTTCAGGGGTCAACTCCCCCACAACCTGGTCTGTGACCAGGCCTCATGGTGGATCAGGGCCTAATCAACCAGGCTGTTACTGTTGGCCGCGCACAACCCGACGTATGAACCACAGCCCAGCTGTTCAGGTACTGACTTTAGATGCCTGTCCAGCATTTTCTTGAAGACAACCAGGGTCTGTTGGTAATCTCCCTTATGTATGCTGGGAGGCAGATGAACAGGCTTCAGCCCCTGACACTAATTATATTGTCTCTTATCATGCTAGTGGCGCCCCTGCTTTTCATTGGGGGATGTTGCATCGTCTGCCAAGTCTTTTGCTTTCATAGGGAGTGATTTTAATGTGCAAATTTGGCACTAATCCCTCTAGGATTTTCCAAGTGTATATAATCATGTATCTCTCCCTCCTGCATTCTAGGGAGTACAGGTTGAGGAACTTCAAGTGTTCCCAGTAATTGAGGTGTTTTATCGCAGTTATGTGTGCCGTGAAGTTTCTCTGTACATTTTCTAGGTCAGCAATTTCACCTGCCTTGAAAGGTGCTATTAGTGTGCAGCAATATTCCAGCCTAGATCGAACAAGCGACCTGAAGAGTGTCATCATAGGCTTGGCATCCCTGGTTTTGAAGGTTCTCATCCATCCTGTCATTTTTCTGGCAGATGCAATTGATACAATGTTGTGGTCCTTGAAGGTGAGATCCTCTGATATTATCACTCCCAGGTCTTTTACATTAGTTTTTTGCTCTATGTGTGGTTGGAATTTGTTTTATACTCGATATAGTTTTAATTTCCCAACATTTTCCATATCGGAGTAATTGAAATTTCTCATCATTGAACTTCATGTTGTTGTCTGTGGCCCATTTAATGATTTGGTTGATGTCCACCTGGAATCTTGCAGTGTCTTCAGTGGAGGACACTGTCATGTAAATTCAGGTGTCATCTGCAAAGGAAGACCCTGCTGTGGCTTACATCCCTGTCTATGTCAGATATGAGGATGAGGAACAGGATGGGAGCAAGTACTGTGCCTTGTAGAACAGAGCTTTTCACCATAGCTGCCTCAGACTTTACTCTGTTTACTACTACTCTTTGTGTTCTATTTGTTAGAAAATTATAGATCCATCTACCAATTTTTCCTGTTATTCCTTTATCACACATTTTGTATGCTATTGACACCATGGTCACACTTGTCAAAGGCTTTTGCAAAGTCTGTGTATATATCTGCATTTTGTTTGTCTTCTAGAGCATCCAGGACTTTGTCATGGTGGTCCAGTAGTTGCGACAGGTAGGAACAACCTGCTCTACACCTGGAACGCAGGAGGGAGAGATACATGATTATATACACCTGGAAAATCCTAGAGGGACTAGTACCGAACTTGCACACGAAAATCACTCACTACGAAAGCAAAAGACTTGGCAGACAATGCACCATCCCCCCAATGAAAAGCAGGGGTGTCACTAGCACGTTAAGAGACCATACAATAAGTGTCAGGGGCCCGAGACTGTTCAACTGCCTCCCAGCACACACAAGGGGGATTACCAACAGACCCCTGGCAGTCTTCAAGCTGGCACTGGACAAGCACCTAAAGTCAGTTCCTGATCAGCCGGGCTGTGGCTCGTACGTTGGTTTGCGTGCAGCCAGCAGCAACAGCCTGGTTGATCAGGCTCTGATCCACCAGGAGGCCTGGTCACAGACCGGGCCGCGGGGGCGTTGACCCCCGGAACTCTCTCCAGGTAAACTCCAGGTAAACACCCGTGTTGCCCTGGGTGGTGCAACTGATGGGTATCTAGATGGCTGGCAATCTTGCTACTTACAACCCTTTCAGAGAATATAATACAAAGAAAAATGGTGAAGATCAAGAGTTTGAGGTAATCAGTCCCTCAGCCTGGAGTCGATGTGAAAAGTTTATTATGTACATCGACTCCAGGCTGAGAGAGTGATTACATCAGGTGTAAAAATACATGCACAATGTTTCCATTCATCTGGGATCAAACCTGGTCCTTGTGTGTGTGAACTGAGCCAACAGTGCCACACTCCTTAACAGAGGGTCTTGATGTCAGTGAGAGACCCTTTTGGGTTTAGCACTTATGTTACTATTCTGATGTAAATTAAAAAAAAATTTAAAAATACTGTACATAAATATTGCATTTGAAAAGCCTATGGCATGCACAGCATTTTGGACAACATAGTTTAGGAGTAAAACTAAATACTAAAAAGATTATATACCTGTAGCACAGGGTATCAACCAGGAGAGAAAATAGTAGTTAAAAAGCAAATTGCACAAATTTTCACATTTTCAAGCCAACTCAGTTGCTTCGTCTTAATCTATTTGAGTTTAGATTCAAATTTATTTTTTATATTTATTATATTTTCAAAAGGCTGAATCAGATGAGAAGCCATTAACAGGTATAGACTACTTTTCTGTTTGTGGATAAACTGAATGCTTTCTTTAGCACCGTTACTACTACTACTTCTAGTACTACCAGCACTGTTCAACATGCCAACATGTCTCAAAGATTTGCCTAACATGGGCCAGTAGGCCTACTACAAGGCTTCTCTAAGAGTTGCTTTATTTCTTGTAACACCTGGCTGTGTTCATCTCTTTTGCCTATAAATTGTGCTGCTTCCAGGTATGTATCAGATTTAATAAACCCTGCCTCCCAAGCAAAATAGTATCATCTTTATTAAGTTTCCATTTGCTGTTTGTGTATATGTATTTATTAGTTATAACTTGGCATTTCCATAATATTACAGGACTTGCCTGGTATGGGCCAGTAGGTTTATTGCAGTGATCCTCTGTTCTTATGTTGGCTAAATGGTTTCCTTTTACTATAGTTTGTCTTTTTACATATTCTAATATCCTGTTTTGACTCTTTCACTGTAGTGACCCCTGAAATTAAGAGTCTCATCAGTGTTGTAATTTTAAAAGAATCTGAAAAGGTAGGGAATCTTTTCCAAAGGCAATGACATCAAAATTGCAAAATTTGATGTAAAACTTTCAGAATTATGCAGGTACAGTGGACCCCCGGTTAACGATTTTAATCCGTGCAAGAGGGCTCATCGTTATGCGAAATAATCGTTATGCGAATGAATTTTCCCCATAAGAAATAATGGAAATAAAATTAATCCGTGCAAGACGCCCAAAAGTATGAAAAAAAATTTTTTTTACCACATGAAATGTTAATTTTAATACACACAAACTGAAAAAGGCATGCACAATTAAATGACACTTACTTTTATTGAAGATCTGGTGATGATTGATGGGATGGGAGGAGGGGAGAGAGTGTGTTAGTGTTTAGAAGGGGAATCCCCTTCCATTAGGACTTGAGGTAGTAAGTCCTTTTCTGGGGTTACTTCCCTTCTTCTTTTAATGCCACTAGGGCCAGCTTCAGAGTCACTGGACTTCTTTCGCACAAGATATCTGTCCATAGTGGCCTGTACCTCTCGTTCCTTTATGACTTGCCTAAAGTGTTTTCACAACATTGTCAGTGTAATAATCACCAGCACGGCTTGCAATAGCTGTGTGAGGGTGATTTTCATCCATGAAGGTTTGCACTTCAAGCCACTTTGCACAGATTTCCTTAATCTTTGAAGTAGGCAACTTCTTCAATTTCTCTCTCCCCTCCTCCGAAGCAATTTCCTCAGGTGTGGCCTCTTGCTCTTGAAGTTGATCTAGCAGCTCATCAGTGGTTAGTTCTTCATTGTCCTCCTCCACCAAC